TGTATGTGGTGTGGGTGACCCAAACACAAAAGGTAGAAAATTATTCTTGGCATGCAATTTAAATTGCTCTGATCTTGCTCTCAGGAGCAAGTGAGACAAGGACACAAGTGAGCTCTTAGCATCACACACACATTATCCCATGTCCCGGGAAGTACAGTTTGCATGGAAACACAGACTCACACAGTGCCCTTAGTGTTCATGCCTCACTCACCCGAAGGCAGCACACACTTGACGGCGGCATACCTCTCGTCTTCTATGACTTGTTCCATCTTAAGAGCCAATGTCTCTGCCTTCAGCTCCTTTAAATTAATAGAGACACCAAACTTTTTGGTTTCTACTCGGACCATGTTTTCTGGCTGGTCTCCAAAAACAGGGATGCCCACCATGGGCACCCCATGCTGGATGGCCTCCATGATGCTGTTCTGCCCGCCATGGGTGACGAACAGACGGATGCTGGGGTGAGCTGTTGCAAAGGAGAAAACAGTGCAACATTCAGGATGAAAAGTTTCAGAACACCAGGTGGAGCAGGGAGGGCATGAGAAAATGCCAAAGGAACCTATAGGTGTGTTAGAGCCATTGTGTAAAATGATACAGCTTGGGGCATATCCAAGAAAGCAGTTCCAAGGTGCTGAATTCCAATCCATGGCATATATAGAGCCTTTTCCAAGCCCAGGTAAGACTGAGAACCAGGGAGCTCTATAGAGAAGAGGGCTACAAGGCACATATGCCCCCTCCATCCATCCATCCTTCCTTCTCCCTGTCCTCCCTGTGCTCTCTTTGCTTCTCTCATCTCTGTGCTCTCCTCTGTGTTTCTCCCTGTGTGTCTGCCTCCTCAGTCTGTCTGTCCTGAGCTCTTTGTTATCCACTGACAACTGATTTCCTTCTCTTTAACTCCTGATCCATTCTTTGCCATCACAATCCATGTGATGCTGGACTGGTATGGTAGAGTGCATTATGTGTGAAACTCCTTCAAAGCCAAGACCAGACTCTACACCTAGGTATTTCCAGTTCCAGTCCAGCCCTCCCAACACTGCTTAGAGCTAACTAGAATGACTATTATCACCAAGAGTCCATCTCACCCTGGGTCACTAAACTGCAAAATGTATCAGAATCTCCTTGCCTCCTCTTAGAAGTGAGAATCCTGGGCTCAACTTCAGAATTAAAGATACAAGATTGCAAAAGTGAGGCCAGAAGTGTTTCCTAAATGTTTCAGGTATTTTGAGCCATATCTTGGTTATGAGCATTTACTGTACTGAGAGCTGTGCATGGGGGTGTCTCTAACAAGCAGTGCCAGGAACTCAGAAAACCTGCTGGGATAAAGGAACTCTCCAGACCAGACAACGTGGTGGACCAAATCCCCAGCCCTGAGGTTGCTAAGCTTGATGGAAAAAAATGTTGGCACATCCTAAAGTCATGGCTGGCATCAGTCTTGTGAAGGTTGAATTGCTCTTTAGATTCAGAGAATGTGTCTCTGTGAGTGAGTTTGTGTAACTACATGTGGCTGATCTGCTCTTCACAAAGCCACTAAACAGAGTGTACACCACCTGGTGTACATTTTCGGAGTTCACAGGTTTTCTTACATTTTGCGTGACCTGGTCCAAGATAAATGCAGTAAGATTGAGGAGATGTGACAGGAATATCACTACTGGCTGCACACATTAGGTCTGGGATAGAAAAGAAGGAGGAAAGTTGGCCGTTTTGGCATCTGATCCCTTAGGAAAAATAGCCTGCTTCCTCAAGACCTCTAGCTGGTGACTCCTTCCTACCCTCTGGAGCCCTACTTTTACCCATGGGAAGCTCCTTCTCTGGTAGGAAAAAATGCCCAGCTAGAGGTCTGAGCCCCAAAAAGCTCTAAAGACAGGACAATGGAAAGAGAGTAGCAGGCCTGGACAGCCCTTACCCAGGAGGTCACTCTGAGGAAGCCAGTCCATGAGTTTCACATTTGTGGACACATTGACATCTTTGGGCCAGTGAGAATGCTTACACTTCCATATCACCCCTTGGCGGAGGTGGGCAAAGGCACTGTTCATCTCCTTAAGGACTTCCTGAAAGGTATTCACATTCACCATGGAGCCCATAGCCACAAGGACAAAACCAGAGTCCCCGAACCTGGCAATGAAGTTCTCCAAGTCCTAGAGAGACATAACCAAGCAAAGGACACAACACATTTGCTTGTGAAAGCCTTGGAAGCAGCAAAATGCAAGTCATGTTATTCAGTGATACCCCCCCTCACTACAGCCTCTCATCCATGCCGTGACATCACCGTCCTGAAACAGTTATCATGGCCCCTGGGATGCTCAGCACCACTGCACTGTCTATATCTGTCCATTGTGTGGCCCCCGGGATGCTCAGCACCACTGCACTGTCTATATCTGTCCATTGTGTGGGTTCTTTCAAACTCTGATCCGAGCTTCTGGGCTGTTCCTCTTCTTCCATGCCAATCCATGTTCAGGGAGTCACGGTCATCTAAGAGATGTCCAAGGCCAGACCAGAGGTGGTGGTCTGAGACTGCACCAGTTGGATGTCAGTGCCCAGCATGGGGAGTGGGCTTCTGGAGGCCGGAATGCAGAAGCTGGGAGAACATTGCTGTCATCAGCAGAGATGGAGGCAGAATGGGGTAAGGCTCCCCCCACCCACACAGAGTGGATCCTAATCCCATGACAATCTCGGCCACTGATCTTTGTACATATTTCATCCCCCACCACAGTGCCTCACCCACAGGACTGCAAATGATAACCACATGGGAGGGTTTGTTCAAAGCAGCGATGACCAGCCCCAGTGGCACACCTGAGCAGCTTGAGTCTTCAAGTTCCCAGGCAGTTCTAAGGAAGGCTGGTGTCTAATGTCTTTACCATGGTTTTAACACCGTTTTTTCAGTTCTTACTTCCAAGTATGTCTTTAACTTTGATTCTCTCTGCACTTCGGTGGCTCCTCTAAGCTCCTCACACTATTAGGTGGCCGGGCCCCTACTGGATTCTATGCACCCCACCACTGTCTGATTAAACATCCCAAAGGACAACCTTATAAGAGCCTTGTCACCCTTTCTATAACTACAGAAGCAACCTAAGACCATTGTTTAAAAATTGGTAAATGAAGTGGGGAAAAAAATTATTTTTTTGTTTTTTTATTCTTTTTTTTTTTTTTTTTG